CGACCACCAGACCACTGGCAACCTCCGAGACGAACGGACGTGCGCGCCGCTTCTCTGCCAAATACTTGCTTCCCGTTTTGACCAGCGCTCGTGTTAGAGCCACACACTCCGGGAAAGTGTTCATTAATCTTGCCTGCACACTGAGGTGAAATAATGGCGCCGTAAACACCGAGGCTAAAAAGTTAGGAGCAGCTGAATAGTCGCCCATCATCAGAGAACATCTTGAGGATTCACCTGAATTCACATCCTGCAGCACCACTAATCTCCGCTAGAGGGCGTTCCGCGTTACACCCCAAAGTCTCCTGGGAAATCTGAGCTCCACCTTCCATTTCTACACTGCAGTCGCACCGAGCAAGATGGGTTAGACTCAAGTCACGACTCCGCCGGTCCTGAGTGCCTTCAGGGGCACTTGGGGGCCAAAAGACTCTGTCATAGAGAAAATCAGAGAACTGTTGTTTTGTTAATCACGAACTTTATATTTTTTTATGGACTATATTCTTCGTTCTGACAAAATCGACTTTGTTCAAGCATCAAACATCGAAGATCATTCAAGGTAAGATATAAGAGTGTTGTAAAGTTATGATGATTTCAAGTTTTTAGAAGTGGAAGGGTGGAGTTTTAAGGGTAGAATTCATGACTTTGGGCCGTGTGTAGTACATTTGTTACCGTCACAAGGTCCAGTGGCCGGCTGTGGTGGTTCATGGTTCTGGTCCAGAGGTGACAACTGGATTGACAGGACGTGTTTCAGCGGTTTGACAGCCCCCCTCCCCTCACACGTTCGTGCAGCGACAAACCGTTAACGATGGCCAATTTAGAACTCGTAGAAATGTAACGTACAAGTATGTCTAACTGTTTACGCCTGTAAAAAATATTATTTCTTGAAGTTATTTGTTTATTGCCCCATAACTCGTACTGTCTGGGTTACGTTGATCTGGCATAAACAATTGATGTTTTCTGGTATCTTGAGCTATGGGATGAAATGAACAATCTTCTTGTGTATAAAAGTGATATTCTCGTGGAGCATATTATATCAATTGGTTGGGTTAGCACTTTCAGTTTCACTTTGAAGATCTTTAAACTCATTATAAGTGTTCCATATGTAAAAGAATTATCAGTTCTTTGCCTGCATGTTGTATATTATAACTATATTGTGAGCCAGTCCCCCAAATCAGACAAGGTTTTCTTCAGGCATTATTTACAAGTTTTTTTCTTTTCATCTTTCAGTAGTTAGTATTAAACAACAAAAATCAACATGAGCAACTCTAAGTCTAAGAAGGAAAGCTATGCTCTGCGCCAGCAGAAATACAGTAATGCTATCATCCGGGGCCGTCGACACGTCCCCACCCCTGAAGCCGTCCCACCGTCTTCTCTCCTGGACGCCCCCCCACTGTCTCCTGTACCACTGCCTTCACCCCCCAGGGAGCGTATACCTGAGTGGGACGACCCGCCAAGACTGGTCACCAACCTAAACAGGAAACAACCAGCTCCTCAGGGTGGATTCACGGCAGCTAACAGGTAATTATCAAGTTTCATGTACACCTGTCCTGGGGTAAGGGTTTGTTTACGGCAGAATCTGTTCTTCAGGAGTAAAGCATCTTTTGGTAAGTCGTTTAATAATACCGGTAGTAAAGTCTTTTAGTAATAAGTCTTTGTTTTTCTCGACACAGGTATGCCAAGACTCCCACACATCTGGATGAAAATGCCAAGGTGTTTGAAGAGTATGCAGAAAGGATGAATGATATCCAACAAAAGCAGAACAACATGGGAGAGAGCAAGCGACCGAGGAAACCCTCCAGACGTCCGCAGACCCCAGCTCTTGTCTCCATGATGATGGGCTCTAGGAATGATGAGAACATGACAGAAATGGATTGCTACATGGCAACGATGGATTCCAAGAAGAAGGCACGCGAGCCCATGGGAGCTGACAAAACACGGGCCAGAACAGCCCACAAGCACGCTGCAAAAGCTCCCACATTGAAGTCTGTGGAAGAGCAACAGGTATTCTCACTCGGACATTATGAGGAGAGAGTCCCAACAAAAGCAGTGCTCAACGACTGGATGGATCATCTCAAAGAGGAGTTCAACTCTACCGACCCTGCTGGAGCTCCCACCCCCACCATGGACAAGCAGGCAGACTGCGGAGCAGCTGTGGTGGAGCAGGTGATGGAAGCAGACACAAACCACGAGGCTAAGAAGAAGAAAAAGAAGAACAAGAAGAAGCAGAAAACTCGTGTGGAGACACCACCCGACTACACGGCAAATGTCGGGCTCGACAACGTGAGCATGAGGTCACTTGAAGCACGTGACCTTGACTGGCAGGATGAAGGTCGAGTACGGAGCTGTTACAAGACTTCTCCACAGCCTGGACACCTGAGCAGGGAGGCTGACACACCCACCATCCAGGACAAGACAAAGGACTGGATGTACTTCATCAGGAAAGCTGGACTTGAGAAGATGATGGAGTCAGACCCTACCAGGGACGAGGACAGGAGGACACCGGTCCAGGGCAAAACCACCAAGAACAAGCACAAGGCAAAGAAGGAGAGGCTTGTCCTACCCAGCCTGACTTCAGATCCAGGCCTGATGCTGCAGGGAACCAAACTTCACACACCTGGTGAGTTTTGTAGTGTAGGGACCAAACTTCACACACCTGGTGAGTTTTATAGTGTAGGAACCAAATTTTACACACCTGGTGAGTTTTGTAGTGAAGGAACCAAACTTCACACACCTGGTGAGTTTTGTAGTGTAGGAACCAAACTTCACACACCTGGTGAGTTTTGTAGTGTAGGAACCAAACTTCACACACCTGGTGAGTTTTGTAGTGTGGGAACCAAACTTCAAACTCCAGGTGAGTTTTGTAGCATAGGTTTACCCACTGCTGCCCAACTTATTTCTATTTGACAATATTGCTGCACGCATGATGCCTGTACACACAAGAGTAGTATGCAGATGGCTAATCTAGTATATTGCACATTGCACACCAATGACTTAATCTTCCATTTGTCCTGTTTTATCCAGGTGTGAGCCTCCCCTCCATAGGAGATGGTGTTCTCTCCACTGCTGCCAGACCCAACATCCCTGATGAGGACATAGGAACACAGTTGCCACCGGTGAGTCTTGTATTTACAGTCTGTGAATTCTGCACAGTAACTGCTGTAACCACTGTACTGTGTAAGGGTCTTGGGTTCTTGTATCATGACCGAGGGAGTACAGAGTGATTAGTTAGTGTAACATATCCTTCCCAGAGACAGAATGGCCGGCTCCTGCCATGTCCTCTAACTGTTTCTTCTCTCCATGATACCAGCTGTAGCTCCTGTCCTGTTTCTAACCGTCTCTTCTCTCCATGATCCACACCAGCTGCAGTTTGGCACCAAGCAAGTCGGGAAGACGACATCAGAAACTGTGACCTTCAAACAGCCCAGCGACAAGTCCAAAGTCCGCAGCACCAAGCGGCGCCAGAAGAACGACCGCGCCTCGCTGAAGGACAAAAAGTCCCAGAAACGGCGCCATAAAAGCCCCGACCCCTCATCACCTGACTTGTAAGTTTGGTGGAACGGTGGATGCCTTACCATCATGCCCTAATATTTATTGGCAATGATTCATGTGTGTATACAACTATGTGTAAAACTGTGTGTTTATAATCATATGTAAATCAAAAGTGTGGTACATTATGCCAGTGCAATCTCTTTTGTTGAATGTACAGCACCTAAAACTGTGTATATATATACAATCATATAATCATATATATATAATCATAATGAGCAACTGTGTTGCCCATTATGTCTGTACAGTCTGAGCCTGTTGTTGAACATACATCACCTAACAGTATATTTTACTATATGTAAACTCTGTTGCCCATTATGTCCATGCAATCTTTCAGTTGTTAAATGTACAGCACCTAAAACTGTGTGTCTATATAACCATATGTAGAACTGTGTTGAAATTATGCCCATGCAATCTCTCAATTGTTGAATGTAGTCTGAAACAGTATGTTTGTATATATAATCATATGTACAATTGTGTTGCCCTGTATTATCATACCTGTGCAATCTGAGCTTGATGTTGAGTGTACAGGACCTAAAACTGTGTCTATATTTAATGATGATTCTGTAAACTGTGTTGCCATTATGCATGTGCAATCTCTGTTATTTACCTCGAGTCCTTAAACTGTGTATATATACAATTATCATATGTACAGCTGTGTTGCCCATAATGCCAGTTCTATCTCAGTTGAATGTACAGTTGTTAGGATGTTCAGATACTAATTATGCCGGAGAGACAGTTTTCATACTTTTCTGCAATCTTTATTGTACAGTCCCTAGATACAGGTTGTTTAGGCACAAATTATGCTGGAGACAGAATGATATAATAATAGTATATAATTTCCTGTACTGATTAACCCAGGCAGAATGCTTAGGCACAAATTATGAGGGAAAACAGAGAGACAGAGTAATACCAGGTTATTTTTCTGCAACATAAAGACAAAATGTTAAGTAACCATTTCACATAATGTAATTATATCTTGTATGTATGGAAAAGCATTGTTGCACATTATGTCTGTGCAATGCTTTTTTGTATACCAACATGTAGTTTTGTATAATGACAATTGTAGTTTGTATACCGACGTGTATTGTATACTGACACATACATGTACTTTTCGACATTTTGGATATAGACATGTAGTTTTGGATACTGACAGTTATTGCTTATATAATGACCCGGGCATTTTTGTATGATACAGCACCAGATTTGATGTTTTGTTGGGGAGAAAAAAATTGTATTTGATTTCCTGCACCTTTTGTACTGCACAAAATATGCTGGAAAGAATGTGACATAATCATTGTTATAGGCTGTAGGAGACAGTCCATGTGATTTTCCAACACTGCAACAGATCCTACAGGTCTTCCACACACCCCTACAGTAGTGTAACGGTCAGTGGACAAGTCTTCAGACTTGTACAGGAACTGGACACTCCCCCTCCACAGGTCCTACTGGAGACCACCTCATGTGTACGTTCCTCCACACTCCAGTCCTACTCAGGGTTACATGACACAGTCTGTCATAGATGGCTCACATGAGATGATCCCACTCCAACTACACCAGACCACACAGTACAGTTCCACTGCAGCTGGGGTGGGGGAGGGGACGTCAGGACCAACTCCACAGATAGGAGACACTTGTCTCTTTCAGACTGTTCAGCTTGCTCACACTGCCCCATCTGTCTGGCATGTCTCTGTGAGGTTCAGTGAGAGATTGATGGCTGCCCTGCACCCGACCTGCCAGTCGGGATGTCGGGCCCCATCCTTACTGGACACCACAAACCATGTCAGATTGTTAGCGGTGATGGGGGGTTGGACTAGTCCGTCAGGAACTTGTGCCTTCTATCTGTGGAGTTGGTCCTGACGTCCCCTCCCCCACCCCAGCTGCAGTGGAACTGTACTGTGTGGTCTGGTGTAGTTGGAGTGAGATCATCTCATGTGAGACATCTATGACAGACTGTGTCATGTAACCCTGAGTAGGACTGGAGTGTGGAGGAACATACACATGAGGTGGTCTCCAGTAGGACCTGTGGAGAGGGAGTGTCCAGTTCCTGTACAAGTCTGAAGACTTGTCCACTGACCGTTACACTACTGTAGGGGTGTGTGGAAGACCTGTGGGTTCTTTTGCATTGTTGTAGAATCACATGGATTGGTTCCAACAACCTTTAACAATGGTAATTCTACATTCTTTCTAGTTTCTGTTGCAATGAACAGTAATTCTATACACCTATGTGGACATGAGATGTTCTGTATTTTACAGGAAGTCTGGACTTAAGTAGCTAGCTTCATTATTTGTAGAATTTTTTATTTCATGTGGACTGTATAATTATATAATTTTAATGCTCATACACTGAATGTCAAGGATTTTCAATTCAAACTTAGCAACTGAAAAATATAACAAACAATGCAATATGACTTACACAAACTCCCACTCTCAGGGTGACCAAGTTACACAGAAACACTGCTATAAAAGAGATCAGACTTCATCTTTACATCTTCAGAACTGTGTATTAGTGTTCATCACAGATTTACCTGTATCATAAGACTCCAGCATGACTGACTGTACAGCTTTGTCTTGCCACCATGTTAAGCCATGTAATATGTCACTGCAACATTGTAATGCATCTTCTAGTTTTTGTTGCATTCTGATCTGGAAGTTTTCATTTTTAACAATTGTATACGATGTGACAGAAAACATTTGTGGAACTGCTATTGTGTGGTATACATGTAAACTGATGTATATATCTGTAACAGTTGATTTCACAGGTATGTAATGTCTTAACATCAGGTTAGTCCACATAATGTATAACATTGCATGTTTTCATTTTTATTATACTGCTCTGAACATTTTCATCTGTAACAATATACAATAAGGAATAGAGTATTTGTGTAAATACCACTGTGCGATATGAAGTAAATTTTAGCAATACTCCTTCCTTAAAGTGATACAAACCATCTATACCAGCTGACATGTCTGTTCACATTTCACATTGCCAATAAATGTAACCATGTGAGGTATTTTCTGGCTCAGTTTCTCTTCAATCTGTCGAAGCTATGTAGGGCGGTTACCTTCCTCATTGTTGGTGAATAACGCATCAACAAAAACGGTTTCTCTGTCTTACCATCAACAAGACATGTGTCCCTGTCCCTGAAAAACACAAGACTGGAGCCTCTGTCCCTGGTGCAGAATGACAAACCAACATCTCTGATGTCTCTGGTGCTGAATGGCACATCAACAACACTGGTGTCCCTGTCTCTGGTTCTGACACCAACAACACTAGTGTCCCTGGTGCTGAATGACACATCAACAACACTAGTGTCCCTGTCCCTGGTGCTGACACCAACAACACTACGTGTCCCTGTCCCTGATCTGACACCAACAACACTGACTGTCCCTGTCCCTGGTGCTGAATGACACATCAACAACGCTGGTATCCCTGTCCCTGGTGCTGAATGACACACCAACAACACTAGTGTCCCTGTCCCCTGGTGCTGACACCAACAACATTGGTGTAACTTTCCCTGAATGACCCATCAACACTGGTGGCCTTGTCCCCGAATGACACACCAATAACACTGGTGTCTCTGTCCCTTGTGCTGAATGACACACCAACAACACTGGTGGCCCTGTCCCTTGTGCTGAATGACACATCAACAACACTGGTGTCCCTGTCCTTGGTGCTGAATGACACACCAACAACATTGGTGGCCCTGTCCCCGAATGACACTCCAATAACACTAGTGTCCCTGTCCCTGGTGCTGAATGACACACCAACAACACTAGTGCCCCTGTCCCTGGTGCTGAATGACACACCAACAACGCTGGTATCCCTGTCCCTGGTGCTGACACCAACAACACTAGTGTCCCTGTCCCTGATCTGACACCAACAACACTAGTGCCCCTGTCTCTGGTGCTGAATGACACACCAACAACATTGGTGGCCCTGTCCCCGAATGACACTCCAATAACACTGGTGACCCTGTCCCTGGTGCTGAATGACACACCAACAAGACTGATGAACCGTCCCTGAATGACACATCAACACTAATATCCCTAGCCCTGTCCCTGGTGCTGAACGACACATCAAGAACACTCTAGTCCATGTCCCTGAATGACACATCAACAACACTGGTGGTCCTGTCTCCGGTGCTGAGCTTCTCGCCATTTAAGGAAACGGTAATTCTCTGCCAAGAAGTAAAAAGGCCATGCATGCAAATTAATAAAACCTGCTAAATATGAACTGTGTTTTTTCGTGGTACTGTTCGGCCATGGCAAAAATGGGACATTCTGAGTGCCGGGCACGAACTTTCTTTTGTCAAAATAAGGGATGCGAACCATGGGGGCTCAGAGAATTGAAGAGACAGACACGAACGGGTAAATCAGTCTGGTTAAATACAAATAACTCTTTAATACTGTATATTATTTGTGTTCTTAAAGGTAGTGTCATGCCTCTTACTAATGTAAAGAACTTTTCTTTAGGATATGTTAACATGTTTAATTCATGTTATTATCAAGGATGTATACGAGACAGTACGTAACTAGGTGTTATGTGCACAGGTATATGGACTTTGCAGAATTTTGTGAATTTATTTGTCATAGGAAGAAATGTTTCAGATAAAAGACAGGTACAATGTACAAGAAAGTTCACGACTGTGATTAGGATAGGGGTGTAAACAACTATTAGCACTGCTAAAAGTATAATTTTTCTCTCATTTCGTTCGAGAATCCTTTGTTGTAGTTTCTACAAAACCTCAACATCATTGCAATGAGCCGTGTTTTCTTTTCGGATGAGAGTTATCCGAAATTGAAAATATATTAGTGGAAAAATATCCCCTTAAGCCTTCATAGTACACCCCTAACAATGCTTTATCACGTCTGTTCTGGAACAATGTAAGGCGCGAAGCCTGATGACCACAATCGAACACCTTGGTAACGCCACCAGACCACTGGCAACCTCCGAGACGAACGGACGTGCGCGCCGCTTCTCTGCCAAATACTTGCTTCCCGTTTTGACCAGCGCTCGTGTTAGAGCCACACACTCCGGGAAAGTGTTCATTAATCTTGCCTGCACACTGATGTGAAATAATGGCGCCGTAAACACCGAGGCTAAAAAGTTAGGAGCAGCTGAATAGTCGCCCATCATCAGAGAACATCTTGAGGATTCACCTGACGACATCCTGCAGCACCACTAATCTCCGCTAGAGGGCGTTCCGCGTTACACCCCAAAGTCTCCTGGGAAATCTGAGCTCCACCTTCCATTTCTACACTGCAGTCGCACCGAGCAAGATGGGTTAGACTCAAGTCACGACTCCGCCGGTCCTGAGTGCCTTCAGGGGCACTTGGGGGCCAAAAGACTCTGTCATAGAGAAAATCAGAGAACTGTTGTTTTGTTAATCACGAACTTTATATTTTTTTATGGACTATATTCTTCGTTCTGACAAAATCGACTTTGTTCAAGCATCAAACATCGAAGATCATTCAAGGTAAGATATAAAAGTGTTGTAAAGTTATGATGATTTCAAGTGTTTAGAAGTGGAAGGGTGGAGTTTTAAGGGTAGAATTCATGACTTTTGGGCCGTGTGTAGTACATTTGTTACGGTAACAAGGTCCAGTGGCCGGCTGTGGTGGTTCATGGTTCTGGTCCAGAGGTGACAACTGGATTGACAGGACGTGTTTCAGCGGTTTGACAGCCCCCCTCCCCTCACACGTTCGTGCAGCGACAAACCGTTAACGATGGCCAATTTAGAACTCGTAGAAATGTAACGTACAAGTATGTCTAACTGTTTACGCCTGTAAAATATTATTTCTTGAAGTTATTTGTTTATTGCCCCATAACTCGTACTGTCTGGGTTACGTTGATCTGGCATGGGTTAATACCATTAACAATATTGATGTTTTCTGGTATCTTGAGCTATGGGATGAAATGAACAATCTTCTTGTGTACAAAAGTGAAATTAAAATTAAGATATTCTCGTGGAGCATATTATATCAATTGGTTGGGTTAGCACTTTCAGTTTCACTTTGAAGATCTTTGAACTCATGATAAGTGTTCCATGTGTAAAAGAATTATGAGAATCAGTTCTTTGCATGCATGCTGTATATTATTATAACTATATTGTGAGCCAGTCCCCCAAATCAGACAAGGTTTTCTTCAGGCATTATTTTAATATTTACAATTTTTTTCTTGTCATCTTTCAGTAGTTAAACAACAAAAATCAACATGAGCAACTCTAAGTCTAAGAAGGAAAGCTATGCTCTGCGCCAGCAGAAATACAGTAACGCTATCATCCGGGGCCGTCGACACGTCCCCACCCCTGAAGCCGTCCCACCGTCCTCTCTCCTGGACGCCCCCCCACTGTCTCCTGTACCACTGCCTTCACCCCCCAGGGAGCGTATACCTGAGTGGGACGACCCGCCAAGACTGGTCACCAACCTAAACAGGAAACAACCAGCTCCTCAGGGTGGATTCACGGCAGCTAACAGGTAATTATTAAGTTTCGTGTACACCTGTCCTGTGATAAGGGTTTTTTCATGGCAGAATCTGTTCTTCAGTAAAGAGTAAAGATCTTTTAATAATACCAGTAGTAAAGTCTTTGAGTAATAAGTTTTCGTTTTTCTCGACACAGGTATGCCAAGACTCCCACACACCCGGATGAAAATGCCAAGGTGTTTGAAGAGTATGCAGAAAGGATGAATGATATCCAACAAAAGCAGAACAACATGGGAGAGGGCAAGCGACCCAGGAAACCCTCCAGACGTCCGCAGACCCCAGCTCTTGTCTCCATGATGATGGGCTCTATGAATGATGAGGACACGACAGAGATGGATTGCTACGTGGCAACGATGGATTCCAAGAAGAAGGTACGCGAGCCCATGGGAGCTGACAAAACAC